ATGTTGTCACATGCCAAGCTTCTTAAGGTGTTCTAGGGAAAAGTCGTCTAGACTGCAGTCGACCTGATCATTTTACCACCTTAAGTCCTTTAGGAGACATCCTAGAAAAAATCTGGACAGGTAGGAAGGCAAAGTATGAGCATCTGAAGGTTTTCAAATGTTAGTCATTTGTGCAAATTTCCAAGGATGAAAGAACAAAGCTAGATGTCAAGACAAATGAGTGTGTTTATCTCGGCTCACCAAAGGACGAGTTTGGCTATTGTCTTTGGGACCCTGCCAACAGGAAGATTGTGAGGAGTTGAAATGTAGTGTTCTGGGAGAATCAGACTATTAAGGACATATAGAAGCCTAAGGTTCGAACTATTTTTTCATCATGAAGACCGCGTCTCTCGTGTCTGAACTAAAGCAGAGGAAGAATCCAATCAGCAGAACACTGAGGAGGGCGGACAACAGAAAAACCACCAACTGAAGGTGAGATAGATTCAGAACATGCGAAAGCCCGAGGTGAAATAGAAGAACCAGGTTTCAAGGATCAACCACAAACTCGACAATCTGTCTGAGTTAGACACCCTTCCACCAGATATCCTGTAGACGAGTATATAATCGTTGCAGAAGAAAAAGAGCCTCAGAATTATGAAGAGGCAGTGACCAGTGCTGAAAGGGAAGAATGGGAGAAAGTTATGCAAGATGAGATAAAATCCTTGCATGAGAATCGCAGTGTCGTATCGTGTCCTGTATCGGTGCAGCATAGGTATTAACATCTTAATATGAAGAAGGAACTTATGACCATTTTGTTACAAGTAACATGTCACTTTGTTCTTCACCAGTTAGGATCAGTAGCACTTCATGCAGTCTATGTAAAGAAAAATAATATCAATTTGCCTTCTCCCTAAACGTGTTATGAATGGTTGAATATCAACATCAACATTCCTTTTATCCCAAACTAGTTGGAGTTGGTGAATGGTTGAACATAAACAAAAATAAATTTTCCAAGAACAACTATACAAGAAATCAAACTAAGAATCACAAAATAATTTTATTATAGAAAACCTCCTCAATGTGAGGAGTAAAAATCACGGGATCGGTTTTGGAATCCACCTAAATTCTTCACTATAAACAGAAGTGAGATTACAAGTTGTCCACTAGAGCACCAATAAACAACTTGAACACAAGTTGTACAACAAACAAGAGGTATGCACACAAATACAACTTTTGGAAATTAATTTTTACAACTAGAAAATTTTACTAAAAAATCCTAACAATTAGATTAGATTAATACAAGGGAGGAACATATTCATCAAGTCTAAGGACAATCCAACAACTAATCAAAGACATGTCACTCTTGAGCAGTGTTTTAAAACTCGGCCTGGTCTTCGACTCGGTCGAGGTATAAGTTAGTGGATAATTGGTTCAACCGATTTAATTAAATTACATAATAAATATATTATAAGGTGCATTGGTTTAATTAAATTTATATTAAATTATATAATAAATATATTATAAGATGCATTTTAACCAACAAGTGAGGGTAACCTAGTGGTAAGTGATTACACTACTCACTCCCTTGAGCTGAGTTTGATTCTCAGCCATTGTAGTTTTTTGATACCCTTTTATGCTAAAAAAATTCCAGTTTGGTTTGACAATGGACCAAAACCCTTTACAAGTGATATCTCCATCAATGGACCAAGTGATAAACCATAATAAGACCTTAACGTTGTAGGTAAATGGGTCTTTTGCACTTATATGATATTCAAGTATTGGAGTCACACTAGCCTTCTGCGGAGGCCTTGAAACGTCATCATCTCCAAATACTTGGCCCATCCAAACTTTTGACTCTGATACCACTGCTGAGAATGTTATGCTGTTATTTAGAAGATAGTGAGTGATATTACATCACTAAGAGGTTTGAACCCATGTATAGAACAAAAGAGATAATGATCAGAAATATCATACACAGTGCAATGATGAAAAAAATTAGAACAAACTTATTTGATGTCAGTTTAATGGAACAGACAGATGAATGTATGCAGTATGAAGAATTAAATCCGAGCCCACAGAACGTGTCTCGTTAAGACAATTTGGCCCCTCACTGATGCCAAAGGGTTGATGGACAAAAGTCTCTCAGGATAGAACAGATTACGTCTGAGGAGTGGTGGCACTACCAGTCAACAGCCCAAACAAACACAACAATTGCCAGAGGAAAGTACACTGGAGAAAATTGAAAGGAGGATGAAAACCGGAAGAAGGAAAAATTTCGGCAGAGTAACAGTGCATAAAAACCAGATAATTTTTCTGGGGGGGTCAAGGTCTATTTATAGATACTGACCGGTCACGATGAACCGCCGCCGGCGACGAACTGTAGTTACTGACGGCCGCGAACGAGCACGACCAGTGACCGATTCGGTGAACAGGTACAACCGGTCACTGGTTCACGAAAGGTAAGAATCGGTTCGGTTCAAAATGATCAAAAACCGGCGGGTAGAAACGTTTGGGTTTGGAAAAAATTTGAGGGAAGCAACAGATAGTCACATGGGTATTTTGGACAAAAAATTAAAAAATAATTTACTACAAAATTATTTTTATTTAACACACACCGAACCGATCCGATCCGAACCGATCCAGCTCCTCCCCCCACAAAATGTGTAGTGACCCAAGGGCTAATTTAAGAGTGTGAGGTGGGAGCTTATAAACTCTCTCACCTCCTACTAGTTGTCCAATGTGGGACTTCTTAAACCCACACACCCCTTCAACTTCCCTTTCTTTTCTTCCTTAACTCACTTCTTATTCATTATCAATAGATTGTCTACACAATTTATATGTAAATTCCAACAGAGCCTAAAACCCTTTACTAATGATAACTCCATCGATGGGCCAAGCGATAAACTACAATAAATGGACAGACACCACATATTAATCCAAAACCTTAAGACTGTAGGTCTATAAATCTTTTGCACTTATATGGTATTCATTTAGTCTATTTCTAGCCAATGTGAAATTTCATACCATTACTCAGTTGAATATTTTCAACAAAAATGTCATTGAATTGGACTTTTGGGCTATTAAGAGAAAAGCCCAACAGCCCAGACAATAGGAGAAGGTTCAGGAAGTAGTTGTTAATGGAACTTTTCTTTCTAGCACTGATAATGGGGTGAGAATCAAAACGTGGCAACTAACCTTTACAAAACTATATATGCTTTCTTCCTCTCCTATATGTCACATGGTGGTTGTTCTTAGATGTTTATTAGGGTGGTGCTGGTTTTGTCTCCAAGATCACCTTGCAAAATGTATCAATGAAAAATGAATACATTGTATTCTGTTATACCATGTAAGTAAGTGTAAAGTAATTTTTTTTTCCTGCTGCTATCTCGGTCTCCTTTAAGGAAATTCCAATTTTCCAAGTCAGGTGCTGATACGATTTGACTTTTATTTCAGATTTAGTGTTCTCATTGCTTATCAGTGTCCTTAACCAACTATTTTCTTTATCTTGATAAAGGGTGAAAAACAAGCAAAACGATGTTGTGTAGGCAGTAGGCTAACAAAAAATGCATAAAGTTATGAAAGCAGTGTATAACAAAAAGGCTGAGGGGGTGGCAAAATACAAGTCACGTTACTAATTTCTTACTATTTGACGAAAATTGATTACTTGGCATAAATCATGAATAGCGTATGACATCTATGATATAAGCAAGGCTAAATAAATATTTCCATACATCTCTCGTGACTTAATTCAGTTAGATCAGTATTGTATTAATTGAAATAATGTTATAACAATTTTAATTTTATAGTTCTCTCCAAGTTTGATGAGAAAAACTTAACTGTTTTACCTTAAACTCATGATGAAGCCTCTTTGTTAAGTCATTTGTGAAAGTGACTCATTCTCATCAAATAATAATGGTAGTACCGATCTCGTCCTAAATCGGTCTAGTCGCGCGAAGTGATGAACTGAATAAAATATCTCAAAAAAAAAAAAAACAAAAAAAAAGTGACCCACTTTCCTCTTCCCTATAGCCATTTCTTTTCACAACGCATTAGATTAATTCAGCCACTTCAATTCTCCAATTTTTTTTTACACCTCTTTGGATAAAAAATTTGTCTGTTTGGCGCGCGGGACAGGACTTCCAAAATTTCATCATATGGATTCACTCATCCAAATGAGAAAAGAACAAGATTTCAAGAGAACCTAGAGAAGGAAATTTCGCCTCTTGCAAGTGTTGGACCAACATAAAGACGAATTCTACGGCCAAATTATACAATCTTGTTGCTATCCAGCTAGAAACATATAATTGATATTTTCTTTTTAACATTTTCTTTACTGTTTTATAAAATCTTATTTTGCTCCCTTCAAATAATTTGGATATACTCTCTATTAATGAAACTAACATATAATTTCATCAAATAATAAATAATGTAATGAAAAAAGAATATCAAATAATGTGTTGCTATTATTTTTTTAGGTAAGATATTTTGCTTGTTCAACATAAATGTTTGAATTTTTCTTGCTTTGACATAACAAATCCTGAATATAACAATTAGATTTAGATAAAATTTTTATGACATTCAGATTCAATTTAGATATATTAAATTTAGAGAAATAATGAGATAACAATCTCATGCAATAGAGACAAAATAGTGAGATTTACTATTTTTTTTAAATAGTAGATCCCACTATTTTATCTATAATTATCTCATGCAACATGAGATAAATACATCCTTTAAATTTGTGTCCAATTTCATAAATATAGACAACAACTCTCTTGGCCCAAGTGACACTGATATAACTTCATGACTTTTATGAAGTGTGTATTTTGTTTGAAATGTGGTTACCCACTTTTTGTTTTATTAAATTTGCGAGTGTTCATTTATAGAAAAGGGGTTGATGTTTTCTTGCATGTTAGTGGGTAACCGACTGCTCCTAGTTAACAGCAAGTAACTAGCTAAACCAATAAAATCTTGTAACATTGTATCAGCAGGTTATTGTCTGTATCATTTGAATTCAGAATTGGTCTGAATCTGACAGAAAATGAAGAACCTCGTATATTGTTCATCTTCAACATTTGTCATTATCTTCATTCATGTAAATATACTTGTAAGTCCATATCTCCCTCATGCAGAAGGTTTTGACTCTGTTATTCAGCTCTCACATTCAGGGTTGAGCAAAACCCGAACCAGATCTAAACGGGTTCTTTCTGTTTGTGATTATGGTGCTAAAGGGGATGGCCTTCATAATGACACCCAGGTAATGACTCAATTTTAAAACTTTTTCATCGCTTTTCTATATTTGGTGATCCTCTGCTGAAATTGTTTTTTTTTCTTATTGTCCTCTGTTCCCCACCATTGGAATGATGATTTTCTTGTTTAAAGGCCTCAACTTTTGTGGTTTTCAGCTTATTTGACGTTGTGGGTTCATTTTTATTTTTATTTTTTTCAAGATTTTTCATGTTCTAAAAGATGTAACCATCGTCTCATAATGCTGTAAATAAGCAAGTATTTCTAGAGACTTTACTGCAACAAGAAAATCAGTGAAAGTTATTGAACCAATTTTCTTAAAAATTTTAAGTTGAAGGAATGATGTTTATTCAGAGTGTCAATAATAGAGGAGGGTAAGTGGGGTGGTGGTTCTTCTTAAAACTTGAGCAAAGTATTGAGATTCATTACTTGCAAATGTTTATGCCAAATCAATGAGAATAAACATGCAAAATACATGTAAATAATTGATTATTCATGCAGTCCAGTTTTCTTTCCTTTCATGATAGCTGATAAATATTTGATAATTTGTCTGACAGAACTAGGTAGGATTAGGAATCTCTCCACCTTTAACAGCAAACACAATACACGGTCACCGTGATATTATTAAACCGTCTCTTGACTTTGTTTATCTTTTTCAGGCCTTCTTAGAAGCTTGGAATATCGCTTGTTCTCTCTCTGGGTCTATAAAGGTTGTTTTTCCATATGGGAAAACTTTTCTTATACATCCAACTGACATAGGTGGGCCTTGTCGATCTAAGATCACTTTGATGGTATGCAACAAGAGTTTAATCTCCTAGATATTGCAGTAAATTTTTGTCATCTGCATCTTTCAATTCCTGAATGAAGTATGTCTTCATGGAAAATGTTTTATTTACTTGATTACTTTCAAATTTATAATAGATCTCTGGTACAATAGTTGCACCTCAAGATCCTGCAGTTTGGGATGGTTTAAATCAGCGCAAATGGCTTTACTTCCATGGGGTGAAACACCTTGCTGTAGATGGTGGAGGGAGGATCAATGGAATGGGACAGGAATGGTGGGCCAGATCTTGCAAGATCAACCGCACAAATGTATTGCTACCTGGCAAGCTTAAATTCATATTTAGTTGAAGTTTAATCATCTGTGTAACTAAAGTGAATTCAAAATATCATGTTGCAGCCATGTCATCCTGCTCCAACGGTTAGTGGCAGCTTCAAAATATGGAGCAAAACAGTTCGTTTACCTAATCTGATACATTACTTAAGCCTTCTATTAGCTGAATATAAACCACATTTACACTGCAGGCCCTGACTTTTCATAGATGCAAGAATCTGAAAGTCAGAAACCTTATGCTGCTAAATAGCCAACAAATGCACATGGCATTCAATAGCTGTATGCGGGTTGTTGCATCCAATCTCAAGGTATTAGCACCTGCGTTCAGCCCTAATACTGATGGAATCCACGTCAGTGCTGCAAAGAGGGTTGAGATCACGGATAGTGTAATTAGAACAGGTAGGTTATCCTCAACCAAGTGCAAAATATTAGCTGTACTTTTCTTGAAAGATATTATGGTTTCAGCAGTAATTTTAACATGTAATTTACTTTAGATAATATAATTATTAAATAGTGAGTCTTATTTTAGAAAACATACATACCTCCTATTAGTAAAAATTAGGATCAGCAGAATGAAATCACACTAGTTTAATGTTCTTGGAATCGTATGATAACAATGAATAAACTGAATAGATATCAGATTTTATTTTTGGGGGGGATTGTGGAACTGTCTGAATATGATATGCATGTAAATTCTTACATGTTATTTTCAGCATGTATAGCTTCTTAATAACTTCGGACCAAGTTTGATGTTGTTGTTAGAAAACATGAAAGATCAGGTAAGAAAATGCATGTGCAACTTGAGCAGCAAACCAGCAATAATGTAATTGTGAAATTCCAAGCAAATGGGTAAATCATTTATAAAATTAAACGAAAGTGCAATATAAGAAACAAATAAACATGTTCCAGAATAAACTCTGTGAAAGTGCAATGATGAATTTGATTGTTGACTTGTTTGAAGTTCCAGAATAAACTTTGTGACCAAGTAATGTGTCAGAAGAAAAATATTTCACTGCACCATGTTCAATTTCAGGTGATGACTGCATCTCAATAGTAAGAAATTCTTCGCGGGTCCAGATCAGAAACATTACTTGTGGTCCAGGCCATGGCATAAGGTGAAAGTAATTTTCACTTTGAGTTTACTAAGACATTAAGTAGTAGAATAACTGTTAACCGATACTGGAACCTATTCTTCAGCATTGGTAGCTTGGGAAAATCGAAGGCATGGGAGAAGGTGGAAAACATAAATGTTAATGGAGCTTACCTTTACAACACTGATAATGGGGTGAGAATCAAAACATGGCAGGTAAGCTTCTTCACAACTGAAGCACTTTCTTTGCTTCGTATGTCATACACTGATGTACAAATGGACTGACTTAACCTCAAATTTTCGTCAGGGCGGGCATGGTTTTGCCTCCAAGATCACATTCCAGAATATCTTGATGGAAAATGTGTCCAATCCAATAATAATAGATCAATACTACTGTGATTCACGACATCCATGTGAGAATCAGGTATTGAATTTTTGGAGGTTTTTGCAGGGTCGTTATGTAAATATGCCTGTATGATCATTGAGGGAATAGCCTATGTGGTTTTGAAAAAAAATTATGATTTGGAGAATATAATAGGTGATTGCATTATATGCATTGATCATATATCATTAGAATCGCACATTCTTCTCAATCTCTAAGGAGGATTAGTCCTTAATGTTTCCTTTAAAATATGATACAAACATTCGTGTTGTAATAACGTAATTAAACTGAATCTAAAGTATGATATGCAAGAATGTAATGTCCTGTATCTGAATGCAGACTTCGGCTGTGAAATTGGGGAACATATCTTTCATTGATATTGAAGGAACTTCAGCCACCGAAGAAGCAATTAAATTTGCTTGCAGTGATGCTTTACCATGTGAACGATTATATCTGGAAAATATTTATCTTGCATCAATGTTCGGAGGAATCACAAGATCTTCTTGCTGGCAAGCCCATGGTTCTAGTCGGGGTATGGTGTATCCTCCTGCCTGTTTTTCAAGCAGTAATGATTTCATTAGACAGAATGTCTGGTTAGAGTCAAACCCTGCTATTCATTCCGTCTGAACAAGGTAGTGTGTACATATTAAAATGAGTACATGCATCCCTTAATAATTATTTTGCAGACTATTGTTTACGGGGAATTAAGATATGTTGAACACTGTATATAATTCGTATATATGCATGCACTTTCAACGTTGAGTTATTTTCCTTATTGTCTGCTCTTTTCTTTTAGGTCAAATTCCGATGATCTGTTTTAAGTCTCGTCTTGTCTCTAAACAATAAACATCATGATTGAATAATTTCACTACAAAATTAGGCTCAACCGTACAAACAAGTTAAAACACATTCAAATGGTTTTTCTTAACACTAACAAGAACTTTTGTACCACTTTCATGCATTAGAAGTGCAAATTCTCCTGCATCTTCATAGCATCACTAGGATAGAATAAGTCAGAAGATGAGCTCAAGTGGTATAAGCAGAAGCAGCCACCTGGAATGTCCATTAAAAAACACCCAACATCATACCGACAAAGAAAAAAAAAGAAAGAAAAAATCCAAATTGTCATAAGATATACACGAGTTAGAAAAAAGCTAGGCTAAATCAATATCTAAGGTATTGAAACTTATTTGAAGCGAATTGATCAGATTGCAATAACAATTATTGCAACATGATAATTGTAAAGAACCAATTCAACCCAAAAGCTTAAGCTATTGGGTGAGGACATTAATGTTTTATATATCTCAACACGTCCCTTCACACGAGAGTCCACTGAACTTGAAGAGTGGACAATACACAGGCTCACCTACCTGTGTGAAGAAAAAAATTCCACTAGAAAGAAAGTGGGCGGCGGTGAGGATCGAATCCGGTACACCGAGACTCTGATACCATGTAAAGAACCAATTCAACCCAAAAGCTTAAACTATTGGGTGAGGCTACATTGATGATTTTATATATCTCAACAATAACAATGAAAATTGGGGGAAACTTACTTATTCCCAAATGGAGACAATATTTCTAACATAATGCATCTGGACTAACATGCTACTATCTAAAAAATGTCAAGTTTCCACTAACGTGCACAAGTAACTTGTGTTGATGCCCTTACCAGAGGCAACTCCAGCCTCAAGCTCAAAAACCAGCATTAGCGAGGGCCAAGTTTGGGGCACCCATGGGCAAGAGGAAGATTCGTATTTTCTGCACTTCTGAAAGTTCTAGGTGTCATCTTATCAACATACAGGATTCCATCCAGGTGATCACACTCATGTTGTAAAATCCGGGCCTGCCAACCAGAAGCATTAATTTTGATGGTTTCACCATAACGATCAAAACCTTCAACCTCAACATCAAGGTACCGCTCTAGCACAGCTCCATATCCATTAACACTGCAAAATGTTATTACAGATGAAGATGTTCATGGTACCCTGGATATATCATAGTCGCAGACAATATTGCCACAAAAATATAAAGTAAGCCAGAATTATCATTTTTTAAATTATGACTACACTATTGAAAAGGCTATTACCTACATCAATAATTAATCCAATAAATCCAATTAGGCTGGAGGAAAATCTCACTCAAAAAGTGGCATATTTACAATAAGAGGGCTGGATAATATTAAGAGATCCTACTGTTCTATTGCACATGCCCCTTTGGGGAACTGCACCCATGTTCGTGCATTATACTCATGGTACTTCAATATTGACAAATTAAAATCTAGAAATGTTTAAATTAAGCGTTAAACCTCCACAAAAGCTAATGAATATTGGATGTCACATTTAACAAAAGAAGAAAAAAAGGGAAAAAAACAAATACAAGTTCCCACCAGATTTTAAAAGTCTGACATACATAGGGTTGAGTAAGATAAACTTAAGAATAAGCCAGATCAGTATTTGGGGAATACAGTGTTTTGAAATCATCTAAGCAAATCCAAACAATCATCTTCTGGTTAATTTATAAATATTAGCAACGCTGTTATGTATTGGTTACATGGATGTCAACTGAGATGTATCACCAAATAAAGAATCCATGTTTGTGGAAGAAAATTAGGATTTTGCTACTTCAATCACATCAACTCTGAAGCATTTGTTTAAATGGAAGCATATATACACATAATGATATAGGTTAAAAGAAAATCATTAGATGATGTCATAGAATTTGCTTCGATTATTGCATCTTGGTCTTCTTTATTATGCTAAAGTAATTGACAAAAAATAAGGGTATAATATTGGTCCATGAAATTTCAGATGAAGTTTTCTTACTCAAGAAAGCAACAACAATATCAAGAGTCTGGACATACAGCTTAAATATTCAATTAAGATAAGTACAATTCCTATAAGTTTAATATCAAGAGTCACAGAATCATACAATGAACCCGAACGAGAACCGATTGATAATCTGCAAAGAAAGCATGGTAACAGAAAAAGGATAAAGTGAAAAAGTTGTTAATAAATTATTGCCACACCTCAAGCACGCTTCAAAAAATAGGGCAGTCCTGTTGCTCTTCTTCTTAAGCTTGGGATTAAGGATAACCTGCCTCAAGAGAACTGAATGAATGTGTATTGGGAAAAAAGAGTATCATTTTAAAGGAGACAAGTTTGTGTCATTTCAGTTGATTTACACAAAGTATGGCCAGTCATACTTTGTGTAAATCTGAAAAGTTGCTTTTTCTCTTCCTCTCTCTCCAGTCACATCCCTGACTTGTAAAATAAAATAAAATAAAAACTTTTTAGATTTATACAAAATATGACCGGTCATACTTTGTGTAAGTCACTAAAACAACACAACTTGTGTCCTTTTAAATGACACACATTAAACTCGTATGTATTATGGAAGTAACAGTCCTTGAGGACAAAACCGTGAATTTCATTTCAATGCTCTCCTTTTGTTTGCAGATGTACATACCAAAAGATCAAAAGGTCTACTATCTTGTGCTTCGATCTCTTCCTTTGTAAAATAACTCATATATTCTTCTGTATTCTCCAAAACAATTATCTGCATACATAAAAATACAAAAAACGCATGCTTTTATAGAAATGCATTTTGTCTAACTCATAAAATTATTCACATATTTCTCATTATTATTCCAGCATTCTCCAAGTTAATAGAAAGTATACACAACACGAAAAAAAGGACTAATTTTTACACACATTTCAAAATGGGTAACCCTAAAAACAAACCCTTAAGGGAATTCCAATCTGTGGTGCAGCAAGACCAACACCAGTAGCATTCCTCATAACCCGAATCATGTCATCGATGATCTTCTGCACTTTCTCAGACTTCATCTCGACGGCATCAACTTCACGCGCTGGCTGGTGCAGAACAGGGTCTCCAGCTTTCACAATTTTCGGCAAGTTCAATTTTTCAAACCATCCTGAAGATGATGATGCTGCTGCCGCCGAGCTGAACATGAAACGACTCGTCGTCGTCGTCGATACTGAGGTTCCATTTGTGGTGTTATCTGAAGCCGAAGGTGTTACGAGACAGTTTAGGAGAACACATATCGGAATCAGACGCAAACGGAACGACGCCGCTAACCGCCGCAGCGCTTCCATGCTTTCTGCTTTCCACTAATTTAATTTTTTTTTTAATTTTGGATTTAATGTTTAGGATATAAATTTATGGGTATGCTCACACAACGTTACTATTAATATTACTATCAATCAATTTAACTGATAGATAGATCGATTATGTTAATTCAATAATTATATTAATTTCTTCATTTCCATCTTTGGATTTGGATGGTTATGATTCCTCATATTTATTGTGAAAGCATTAAATATGAAAAATCATAACCATACAAAAATAAAAATAAATATAAAGTATTAAATATTAAGAATCATAACTATACATAAAAATAAATATAACCTTAGATCACGGTGAAATTGATTAGTAATAACATTCTTAATTGGTTGTTACAATATCTTACTTCATAAATTTATCTTTAACATATATAAAAGTAAAAGTGTATACTTTTATGTTATTTTATTTTTCTCTTCTATTTATATGAAAACCATACATTTTTATTATGTATGTTTATTATCTCCTCATAAGCAATATACCCTTTAATTTTCACCATCTAAGAGTTTAGGATATATTAGCAATTTAATCCACAAGTTATTGCTATGTAATGTAAGAGTTAATATCTAAATCTGTAAAACTCGATTCAAATTTGGTAAATTTTAAAACTAACCTGTGCAAATAATTACGATTAGAATTAAAAATTGAGCTGTAAATAAATAATAATGCGAGGGACGAAATAATTAAAGGAAAATCTTTTAAAGGAGGTAAAGTTATGTCATTTTAAGTGAGAAAAATAGATAGATAATAGAGGATAAAAAATGAACAAAAAAATAAAGATGTGAATTTTATCTCTTTATATGAGTGAAATAATATAAGTTATATTAGTTAAAAGGACAAATATTTTTCTCATAATTAAAATAAGATAACTATGCTCGTTACAATTAAGTCATCATTTCAATGTTTTATTGGGTTAACTCTGAATATGGGCTGGGCTTGGTTTTAGGCTTCGGCCTGCATCATTATCACGACCAAAGAGAGTGATGGCTATTTGCATAAAAGCCCAATTATGAATAATTTTAGTGTGTAAAATATTTTTGGAAAAAGTATTTATTATTTTAAATAATATAAATAATAAATATAATATAATTTCATATTATTTTTAATAAAACTATGTTATTTTAGTGTATTTTTTCATTTTCTCTTATCCACTTTTTTTCTTCTAATTTTATAAAAAAATTAAAAATGAAAAAAATATCAAAAACACAATAAAATGACATAATTTAATTAAAAATGACACAAAGTTGTATCATTTAAAATGACAAGCACTTACCTAAATGTTTTTACATATTATTTATTATTAAACGAATATTATGTAGGTCTCATTAAAAACAGAGTAGACCTAAGTTTTTAGTGAAATCCACATGAAATTTATCTAATAATAAAGAATGCGTTAGAAAGATTATCCCTTATAATAGAGACACTCTAGAGATTAATTGTTATTTAAAGATTATGTTCACTTTTTCTGCAGTTACTGCGGATAAGTTATCCGCAGTAAGCCCAATACGACGTTGTTTTGAGGCGAAAATCATGGTGTTTTTGTAATTTTAATTTATTTCAACGTTATTATAGTATTTATAATTATAATTTTCTAATTTTTCAATTCCAAAATAACGTTATTTTGAAAGTAAATGCAGATAAATTATCTGCATTAACTGCAGAAATATTTTTCTGTTAAAGATTTTACCTTATTTTTTATTTTTTTGTAATAAGGTTTTACCTTATTTTATCTTATTTTCCTTCAACTCAGAATAGAAGTATACTAAAAAGATGTTTGCTTATGTTTGAGTTTATAACTAGACCACTAATATAAATATTTCACATACTTTTTTTCATAATTAATAATATTAAAAAATTTGTTTCATCGAAAAATATCTAAAACTCAAGTTTGAACATTATTATGCCCTCTAAGTTTATCATTCTTTTCGTTATATATCATTAACAGCTAGATATATAATCAATAAAATCTCTTTTGAATTATCTCTTTTGAATTGCATACAATTCAAGTCAATTTGAATGTGGTAAACCCATACAAAATATATTTTACAATTTGTAATTCAAATTCATCATATAAAATAATAGTTAATATTGTATATTCTATAATCGTAATTAACGTACTTTAGCATTTTTATTATTCATCACATGTTTATGTCTATAATTTATGATAATGCTTTATGTCCCCTCAGCATTACCCTTTACAAAACTGTTTTGGTAAGAGGTTTTTTTTAGAATGATTGGGAAAGTGAAGATGAATATCCAAAAATACAACGTTTGATAGCATACTTTAAATAATTTTCCTATCAATCTCATTTACATAACAATATACTATTATGTGTAATATTGGCAAAATTTGACCATTTGAGAGGGTTGTATTCTCATTACCCCAGCAAATAAAAAAATAGCATTTCTCAATTTAGGACACAAATATCCTTTGACTTAATATGTCAAAAGAAAGCTCAAGAGAGAGTGAGAGTCTAACATATTTTCATAAAATCATCCTATTTTTTCAATAATATTTTACATTCAATCAAAATAGACTTAGAAAATTTACACCAATATTTCGGATAATATTTCGGCTTATTAAATAATTTTTTTTTTAACTTTCCTACTAAACTTATTTTTTCAAGTAAATTTTTTTTTCTCCTCTATCAAACACTTTTATTTTATAGCCAAATAACAAGAACAGTATTCAACAACCACACATTAATGGCGATGGACGGTGGAGGCTCACTCAAGAGTCAAGACTTCATAAAAGGTACTTCTATATGGGCATAAGTAAGTAATGCAGAGAGGTTTCCCTATTAACATTTTTGGCATTTCTAGGATATGGTGTGGAGTATGGAGTGTGGACATGTATTAATAATTAAGAACCCCATGTGGTATAGCAGCTTCCCATGCCTCTCAAGTCTCAATCACATGCGTATCTTGATTTTTAAATTTCATTTCATTTTCTTACCTTTGTGCATGCAATGCACCTATTCTAGTCTAATATGTATATGGGGCAGGTTATATTTACAAATTTTTTTGTTTACAAACTCTTACAAACTACACTATGTAGGATCGGTCCTACATTAATCCCACAGTGTACGACCGGTCTTACATTAGTGTAATTGCAAAAAAAGTTTGTAAACGGATCCTATCCCTATGTATATAGCTTAGGGAGGTCGGTGTAGATGCGTACTAAATGTTGCCCATTAATTAGTCTTCAGAATTCAATTAAAGTAAGCATTGTCCTAATTACTTGACTCGTCAAACATGGCGTTTTCAAAGGCATTAATCCATATGACCATGTCTTAAGCCGCAAGATGGAATGGAATGGTCTCCTGTACATGGCACATCCGTGTGGGACTATGACAATTGGTGGATAAGATCTACTTTGACCCTGAAAGGCTGAAACTTCAAACTTCAGAAAAGGCAATTTCACTGTTACAGCTTTGAAATTTCTCCTACTTTAAATAAAATTCTCATTTTAATAATTAAATAAATAAACCCTTCTAAATAGAGAAATGCATTAGTAAAGGAATGCAATCATCTCTTGCTTTGCATGTACGGAGAAAATCATTTGATGCATAGAGAGTAAATGTAGAAATTGGATTCCATTTCTCCAGCCTGAAGTCATACGTACTAATTATTTTAAGTGTTTTGTTGACATGTTATACAGTTCAAATAATAAAGTTATTTACCAAAATGTGTAAGTCAGTTGCTGCATTAGAGTTGAATAGTAGAAAGGAAAGTACTTCGGTTCGATCCTCACATGTCACCTTTGCGAGGGGCTTAAAATCTTTATCCCTGGCCCGCTCCGCACTCCGGATTAGTTTTATAGCCGGCTCAAAGAGCCAAAACTTGTGGGGTTATCGGGGAGAACCTACTCGCCTCGAAGAAATATGTTAGAGTTATTTCCAAAAAAAAAAGAAATATGTTAGAGTTATATAAAATCATTAATGTAACATCACCTAACAACTTAAGCTTTTGGGTTGAATTGATTTTTTACATGGTATTAGAGTTTTTGTGTCACGGATTGGATCATCACCGCCCCTCACTTTCACTTGTGGAATTTCTGAACACAGGTAGGCTGAGGTCTGATGTATCATCCACTCTTCAAGTTCAATGGGCTCTTATATGTGAGGGAGCGTGTTAGAGTTATATAAAACCATTAATGTAGCCTCACCCAATAACTTAAGTTTTTGAATTGAATTGGTTGTTTACGTAATTATGGTATGTTTCCAAAATAATAATAATAATAAAGTTATTTATAATATAGATGTGAAAAATGTGATATTAACGTCACACTTACTGAATGAGGAAAAGCATTATGCTTTCTTCAACCAATTGACAAATTGATTTTAATATTTGTGTGTCATTGACAAGCGTATGCATTTACTACGCTTAGCATATTGGACCAGCTAGATATTCTCCACATCTTTTTGCTTTTAACTTTAGTTTGAAGGGAAGAGCAGGGGTGTGGGGGCAAGGTAAAAAGTAAACACGAAGATTAAGGTGAGGGAAATAAAGGCATCTATCAATTAGAAAGTAGAAGTAGAAATTACATATTCCCTTTTAATTGTTGCTAACAATATAATATAACTTCTTTTTCTTTTAGGTAAACATATAATATATCTTTATCTATATAAGGAAGCACATGAGGGTGCCTATGAAGCATCCATTTCATTGTTAACACAATTCAGGCTTAGAGAAGCAACAATGATTAGAAGGAGCTATATCCAACCTTCACTCCACAAGCAACAAGCTTCTTCATCAAACGAACAAAGAGAGGAAGAGAAGAGAAACACAAGTTCAAATGGGGTAATGAAGAAAGAAGCCCCTGAGACAAAGAAGCTAGAGAGGAAGCCCATCGAAGACATCAACGCCAGTGCTGATGCCTTCATCAAGAACTTCAGGCAACAGCTTCTCATTCAAAGGCTCCAATCCATTGAGAATTACGAGCAAATGCTTGCAAGGGGGCTCTAGCACTACCAATTAT